GCGTCAACGACGACGTTGTTGACGCTCTCTTGGTTCATTCACTGTTTATACCAGAATCTTTGTGTCCAACATCAGGAGGATTGGACTTTTCTACAATAATAAACACGTCGTTGGAGGTTGAACACCGTCGTCCAACCGGTCATCCAACCAAGTGTATAAACAGAGGTCCGACGCTGGTGTTTGGTTCTTCCAGCCTCTCAGTGAGTTCATGATAACAGAGCACAGCTGTTGAAACCTGATCCCTGGATCAGTCACTCCAGCCAATGAGACGCAGAGTTGCCAGCATCGTTTCCATTAAACCAGATGAAATGCAGCCCTGTGTTTAAAACTGAATGTCACACAGAGGGCAGCGGCGCTCTGAGTCATCGTGAAGCTCATGTGAGAGTCGCTCCGGCTTTTACTGCAATTTATTAAGCTCTAAAAGTCAAACAGTGTGTTTCACTTTGCTGCAATTTCAGTTTACCCAAATCTGCAGCGGTGCTGAGGTGGAAGATAATTTAACATCCGCTGAGTTCAAGTTCAGTTCAAGGAAAGATAATGACAATGATCTGATCCTTAAAACAGCCACAACAAAATGACTTAAAATCAGAATCTGGCCCAGGGGTCAGAGGAGAGGTCACCAGGTCAGACGCATCAAACGGTCACATCAACGCCGCACACCAGAGAGGATGCTGGGAAAAGAATGGAGGCCAGAAAAAGGAGTTCAGAGAAGCAGCTGAAGAAGAACACGATAGTAAAAGGAAATGACATGGTCACTAAGGAGGTCAATCAGAGGTCACCACACCAAAGCCCAGACCTGCTGGGAGAGTGTTTGTCTCCATCACAGCTTCTCACGTCTGTTTCCCTCCTTCAGTTCTTCTTCTCTTCTTCCTCAAAGGTTTCAACATGTCTCTGACTCATTAGTGCCATCCTTCAGTGAACTGCAGTACCACCTGACGGCCACTCTGACACACACACACCCACTAATAAAGAGAGACGGAGAGAGGGACACACACACACACACACACACAGGCTGGGGACCTAACTTCATCCCTGGACACAGGACATAAATCTTCCCCAATAACAGCAGTGGCATTTCAGCAACAATAGAGACGACACACAAACAACGGGCAGTGGACGGACACACACACACACACACACACACACACACTAAACTGAGAACTTAAAAAAAATGTCACAATGACACAATTTCAAATTCTAAGGCAGTCAGGGGAGGCAGAGAAGTATGTGAGGGCGGTGCTGGACATGTAGAGGGACAGCAAAGCAGTGGTGAGGTCAGAGTGACCAATGGGTTCAGGGTAGCAGTCTGGTGAGCAGGCAACAGACGAACGTCTATGTTTCTCCGTCAGTCCTCGTCTTGTTGCTGGTCCATGAGGTGGTTTTCATACCAGAAGCTGGAGCGTTGTTAGCCTCCACGTGACAGAACAGACAGTCAGGAGGGCGAGCTGAGGTCTGCCAGTGAATTCTGGGTATTTCCAGCCAACGCTCTGTGTAATTATTACAGCTATTGATAAGAAGCGGCAGGCACTTCTTTGTAATTACAGGTATGGGTGGTAGGTAACAGCTGTGAGTGTGGCACTGCCAGCTTTTAGGATGGAGCAGCTGGAACTGTTGGAAAGAACGTGGAACCATGAAGAACGTGTCTTCAATACAGGCAGTGAAAACAACCAGGTCGTTAGGATTTAATGGTGAGGGAAGAAAGATGTGGAAGATTAAAAGTGAAATCCACGTCATTTCATACGTGACTAACGCAGCAGTCATTAAGACCATGTTCAACTGTTTTCTTGTCAAAAGCACTGGGTCGTGTTTTTATTGAATCAATAGTAATAAAAATGCTAATGATTATAATTAGAATAAAAACAGCGCCCCCTCTGTTCAGACTGGATGTTACAGTTGTTTGACAGCTGTAGACCAACAGAGGAGCGTCTTTATTACAGCAGACACAGAGGAAGGACGCCTCCGTCATCCTTTCTGTTTCCTCTAATTCTATTTTTTCTGCTGAGAAAACAACATTAGTTACGAAGCACCAGGAACGAGCGGTTTGGGGTTTGTTCCTGAACCGTTTGGTCTTCTTCAGATAAAGAAGAAGAAGAAGAAGAAGAAGAAGAGAAAACAGAGCACTGTCTGCCATGTCTCTGTTGAGATCACCAAGAAAAGATCACAGACAGTAGAGGAAGTGGAAACACTGACACTGGTCTGGATCAACCACAGACAGTCGGTCGACCACAGAGTTTCAGAGACAATCATTAGTGATATATGATATACATATATATGTATATATATATATATATATATGATATATATAGAGATGTTTTAAATCACGTTTTAATTTGTAATCATTTGGCAGCCCTGATGAAGATATAATTAGCTTATATTTAGTTCTTTATTGTTATTTTATAACCCATATAATGACATGACTTTTTATCCCAGCTCCAGTCTTTGGATTCACATGTTGTAGAGAAATGTCTCACCTTCAGCCAAATAAAAGCGCCTTCTTCACACAGACATTATGCTAATTTGCTCTGAGAGCTGGAGTAAAGTGTGACTCACGCGGCAGCCGCTCAGAGCCGAGTGCACCTGTGTGCAGGGGCAGGAGGATTTGAAATAACAAATCTTATCTCTGGTCTGCAGGGGCAGTTCAGCGCGGGGGGGAATAAAGAGGGGCATCAGTGAATGCTACGTCTAAAGCATGTCAGCTGCTGAAAAAAAAAACTGAGCGTGCACAGAAAATGACTTTCACACATCTGCATCAAATGTGAAATTTCACATGCATAATCTAAGAATAACAAGTCAACGGGACACATTAGACATCTGCAGGGAGGTCTGTGAACTGCAGCACGGCTAACGTGTCGACCCCAGAACGCCGTCATAAAGCAGCCAAGAGTCGTTTTCCACATTAAATATATACAGCGTTCATGACTGGAGCGGAGAACAGAGAACAAAGAACAAAGAACAAAGAACAGAGCTGGAGTTTTCTCCATTATTCATTACAGACAACAGCGTTTTCTGCTGCTAAATCACTCATGTTGAAACGGTCAGTGAGTTACTGACGTCTGGTCAGAAAGACATCACAGACAAAGGTTAAACATTTGGCTTTTACATCAAATGAATTCATAGTAAGAATTCATAGTGGACAGTCATGTGGTCACTGTCTGTGTCTGGTTGCTATGACATTATTCCTCCTGACTTGAATATCAATGCACGACGTGGACGACTAAGAAATGTATACGGTTGCAGTTGCACGAAACATTTTTGATTTTAGGCAATAAAAGAAGATATAAAACATATTTATTGACTCTTTGTTACCCAAATAAATGTCAAAGTGAAGAACAATAGGATAAACACAAGTAGCTCCAAAACTGCAGACATCACCAGGTCATGTGACCAATCACAGTCGTTCCCTGACTGGAATAACCTTAATCCTCACAAGGACAGCTTTGGACAGCCTGACCTTTGACCCCTCTTCACTGTCTCTAATTAATCAGCTGAATACTCGTGTCAAACATGGCCGCCCCTCAGTGTCAATGTGTCTGAACCAGTGAAGTCAACGTCTCTCACTGGACCACAGGGTCCGTCAACCGTCTCCTAAATCACCAACAACATTCAGTGTAAACCTTTATCAACCACTCCGTGATCCTCAAGTCTCTAAATTTACCAACATGGCATTTATTAGAGAATCTCTCACCACTTGTACAAACACACTCATATACCACCACCAACCAGCCCCGGGGGGGCAGTTATCAGTAAGTTATGGACCGTCTTCAGGCTCCACGGTCCCTCAAGCTGCAAGAAATGAAATATGAGATGAATTTTCTGGCTGAACTCAAACTCAAGGCTAACCTTAGATGGCCTTAAAAACAGGAGATGATTCAATGAATGTTGGAGGACAGAGACACTGATGATGCAGCTGCAGCAGCAGCAGCAGCAGCAGCAGCAGCAGCAGCTTCACGGCCGACTGCATCCAAATGATGGCCACTAATGTGAGACACCTGCAGTAACAGCTGCTGCCGCTGTCACACTCCCTCGGACTAAACTTTTCCTTATTTTTGCTGCTGCACCTGGATTTTTGACCAAGGTGAATTTGTTAATAAAAAACCACCAATCACATTCAGGCTGCTGTTGTGTCAGTGACAGTTTAACGTTGTTCACGGTCGGCTCCTGTTCTCACTGTAGCTGTAGCTACAGATGTGAGACACGAACCACTCTGGGTTTGATCTTTTTACTCCTCTCTCTCCTCGTGCTCCCACCAACCATCATGAAACTAACGTTCTCTCAGGAACTTCTATCCTCAACAGCCAGCACTTCTCTGCGCTCCATCTCTAACCCAAAGTGAATCATGAGGTTTCTGTGATTATTTCCATATTAAGCAGGAGATAAAAGTGTATCCCACTGTAGAGAACGATGATAAGAACAGATGAGAACTGGGCAGTGTTCAGCAGTGACCTCCACATCTGAGCCGTGGACCTGGGATCAGACCCACAGCTGAAAGTCAGACAGAGATTTGACCAGAGGAAGAACATCACAGCACAGGAAGTAACGCCACGCACACACGTAGCCTCGGTACCATCAAAGTTACTGCCCCTTTCCCGTTGTTTCCAGCACCACGGAGAGCTCCTCCTCAAGTCATCTCCATTCATCCCTTTGTCTTTTCATCCTAATCCTGTGCAGCTCCAGAGTGGACACGTCAACAGTCCATCACTGACCAACAACATTTATACCTACAGTCAGTTTGGAGTCCAGTCCACCCGCTCCTGTGTCTTTGGACTGAATGTTAACAATCTTCAGGCATATTCAATATCTACACCCTTCTCAGCCACCTGGGGCTTCAACTGTCCAATAGCGACCTCTGTTGGTGTTTTTCCATTACATGGAGCTCAGACTCAGCAGGGGTTTCTACATGTACGGCCATTTTTAACATTTCTAACCATAAAGAAATACGGCCAACATTTACCTCTAGGATCGAACAGTTGACGCTGACATTGTAAGGCAACAACACTCACCAGTCTCTCCGTGCAGTCCCTTGCTACTTCATCAGTCCATCGTGCTGAGGTTTCTGACATCGGTGTTGTTCACCAGCTTCCACCACAAACATCTACACCGTCAGTGCCTGTTGTCTGTTGACCTGGAAACACCAGAGGTACAGACGTAACGTTAGCTCTGACAGACAACAGTAGTTTAAATCAGGACATCAGTGGGTTAGTGACGCAGGGACA